ATATATATATTTATTTTTTTTTTTTTTTTTTTTTTTTTTTTTTGAGATGAACTATGACCTGGATATGTTATAGTGAGATTTCACTCAGTCAGTCCTTAGACTCTAGCGCTCCATAACACTCTGTTTGAACTGGAATATTGAAGCCAGCTACAGAAGATCCGGTTCCTGAACTGAACGGAACTCCGCGTCAACATGACTGTTTTCACTGCCATCTTCTTGATTGTTAGAATTAACCAAGCTGACATGGTTATTGTAAGGACAAGGAGCTTTATTTAGCAAGTGAAGTTGACTTCACCTAATTGTGGGGCATCACTAAAGACGCAGTGAACTCTCGGAAACGTCCAAAGGAACCATAGTGAGAAGATTCCGATTCGAGTAGATTCTGCCGGGATGTGTGTGTTGAATGCCAAAGAGTCAACTGGATATCCATGTTTTATTAGTGGGGTCAAAGTGCAAATGTCTTTGGCAGCTGCGTTACCGTGGTAACACTGCAGTTGAGTTGAGTCATCAGTTACTGACGGCCTCGTCGATCGCGTCGGCCACATCTGCGGCTCCATCCAGACTTCCTCTCGCACGCCAGATCTTCACTGTGCGGTCACTGCAGGGTGGAGCCAGATGAGAGTCAGAGTGAATATCAGCCACAGTGTAGGGCTGCCAATTCTAAAGAATGTAACGATAATTCTGATTCCAGTTTTACACAACAATCCTAGGCCCTCATTTATCAACAGTGCATAGAAAAGGTTCTATATTTTGTCCTACGAATGAAATTTAGAATGTGCCTAAGTACAAGAAAATCCGTATTTATCAAACGTGCGCACGCAGTTCTTACACACACGAGTAAGCAATCATTGTTGATAAATCCCACATGTGCGTAAGTACAATGCTCATTTGCATTCGGAAACGCCTCCAATGAACCATATATGGGGACAACACCTCCCTTTATAAATCACGTGAATGTATGTGTCCTCACAGAAATCGTGGCAAAGAAAGCGGTACCGACTGAGAAGCCGTTCTGTGCTCTCACTCTCAGCGCGGTCTTTGAAAACACGTTCTCTGCAGAGCGCACTGTTTGCCAAGTTTTCAAACAACGCAAGATAAGCCATTGCACAGTCCGAGACAAACATTTGTCACAGCTGTCTTTTATAGGGTTTGACATTTACACAACAATCCTAGGCCCTCATTTATCAACAGTGCATAGAAAAGGTTCTATATTTTGTCCTACGAATGAAATTTAGAATGTGCCTAAGTACAAGAAAATCCGTATTTATCAAACGTGCGCACGCAGTTCTTACACACACGAGTAAGCAATCATTGTTGATAAATCCCACATGTGCGTAAGTACAATGCTCATTTGCATTCGGAAACGCCTCCAATGAACCATATATGGGGACAACACCTCCCTTTATAAATCACGTGAATGTATGTGTCCTCACAGAAATCGTGGCAAAGAAAGCGGTACCGACTGAGAAGCCGTTCTGTGCTCTCACTCTCAGCGCGGTCTTTGAAAACACGTTCTCTGCAGAGCGCACTGTTTGCCAAGTTTTCAAACAACGCAAGATAAGCCATTGCACAGTCCGAGACAAACATTTGTCACAGCTGTCTTTTATAGGGTTTGACACCAGTTACGCAACTTGTCTTTTTAAAACTAGACAAATGATAAATTGAATGTTTTATAATTAAAGGAAACACAGGACATATGTGGGTTGCATAATGCGTACTGTGACACACTTAAATGCTTTATATGTGTAGTGTCGCTATTCTACCACTAGATTCTCTGCGTAAGCATGCTCAGAGGTGTGCTTATATTTACATTCTTTTCTACGTATAAGTACAAGTTGGTAGATCCCACACTCTGCGTGAAACTGTTCTTATGCACACATCTGTGCGTATGCACTGTTGATAAATGAGGGCCCTGGATATGTGTTTTAGTACTTTTGACGAGGAAAGCCCCTCCAAATAATGGATCCTAACTGTACAGAAAACAAAACACATACAGTATACTAGATACTAAACCTAAATAATACTATTTTTTATTTGTTTTTTCAAATAAATATTTATTATTTATTAAGCCCCATTTATTACAACAAACCGTATACGTTTGTTTAATAAATATATGATAAAAAATAATAACCAGTAATAACACGAAAAATAATGATAGACCGATTTAAAACCATAACTCATGAGTTTGCAAAAAATTCATTATTTAAAAAAAGAAAGAAAAAAAACATTGGTCACGCTGTATTATTGTTGTAGTTTCTGTCCACATCAGTGTTTTAGTATCATTAAGATACTACTACAGTTTGCACTAATATTTTGAATTACTTTTTAGTTTTGTTTCAGTTAACATTTATTTTATTTCAAGTAATATATATATACACACACACACACACACACACACACACACACATATATATATATATATATGAATGGTTTTAGTTTCACAGAACTTTGTGAAATTAAATAAAGTTTTTGATGGGTGCTATTTTGATATTATTATTTTGATATATTACATAAATGTGCTGCCTATACAAAAAAAGAAAACAAGCAATATTGTGAATTGTACAACAAATTTAATGGACTTTTTTATTTGAACTCCTAAATATCCCAACGTTAGTTTTGCTATCCTTTGTTGTCTCTAGAGTAGAAGAGGGCTACAAACAGAATTTAAGAGCTTGTAAGTTCAGTTCATTTCCTTGTTTTATTCGATTCAAATGATCCATTTAAATGAACTGACTCAAAACTCTGATTCAACAATTCTTATGCATTATCACTCAAAAATGTTCATGGAAGTGTCCTCAGGCAATTGACATGCGTTAAAATGTTTATCATTGTTTATTACCATAAATTATACCGTTACATTGGTGCATATAAATGGAAATGATGAAATATCTTTCTGTTAATATAGTGCAAAATATATGCAAACTAGGTTATTTTTACTAGACTTTTCATGTATTTTATTTTGAATCTACTTTGCAACAATATCTGTAAAAATGAGGGCCCTTTGATTACACAGCAAATGACCCAGTTCAGCTTTAGTTCTGAATTTAAACCAGTTCTCGATTCCCAGTCGCAGTTTCACGTGTGTGTAACACTCACTCTGATGCGGTAAACAGATGGCTGCTGTTGGTAGAGATGCTGTTGATGGGGCTCTCGTGGCCTCGGAGTTCTCCCAGCGGACTCAGGGTGTCTGTGTGCCAGAGTTTGAGAACTCCTCCTCTACAGCCACTCAGCAGGATGGGAGACGCCGGCACGACGCCCAGAGCACAAACCCAGTCACGATGAGCGTTGGGTACCTGCTGTGGGACAACCAACATGTCAACCCATCAAATCCTGGACAAACACAAACACAGTTTGAGTCCTGATTGATTTACTTCCTGATGAGGTAATTAGACTCTTCCTGATCTCATCCTCAGATTAATCAACTGATTGGCTAATTGTCCTTGTGGAAGTTACTACACTTGCATTATAATGTTGCTAGAGTGGCTCCAAGAAGTATATGGACACTTAAGCCCAGTGTTGGGGTAACATGTAATAGCATGTAACATATGCTGCTGCTGCTGCTGCTGCTTGAATCCAAGTTTCTGCAGAGTTTTTAAGATCAAACTTAAGACTTCACAAGACCTATTTTAAGACCTGCACAAATTAAATTAATATAGCATGGTGCTACACAACAAACCCTTACAATCTCAAAATAAATCAGGAATCTCAGATTCTTTTACTTTAAACATTCAGAAATGTCTATGCTTTACTACTTTCAGCTGCTCGTTCACAAAGAGACATAACGTAACGAAAACATAAGCAATCATTAGGCATAAATGTGCGGTATTCACTGATCGTGAACTGCTCTGAAGCCACAATCCTGCTGAATGTGCAACAGCGTTTTGACTTTGAAATGTTGCAGTGCTCACTTTTGTTTATTTGAATCATAGCCTTTTGAAGTTTAATAATCTATGCATTACATATCTATGTATCATTTCTGACATGTATTAAAAAAATTATTTGTTAAGTCATAGTTCTGAGATGAAGTCAAAATTATTATTTTTAATTTTAAAATAAGTATTAATTATGAAATAAAAAGTTGAAATTATGACATAAGCTGAAATTGAAATAAAAGTCGAAACTGACATAAATCACAAGTTATGTGATAAAAAAAGTCAAAATTATGTACTACAGTAAGTAACAATTATGAGAAAAAAGTCAACATTATGACATACTAAGTCAAAACTGAGACCAAAAATTTAAATGATGAAATACCAAGTCATAATTATGAATTTTAAAAAAGGTCATAATTATGAGATAAAGCTTTTTTCTTACATGGTGGAAATGGGCTTCCATACATCCGTAACGCATATCTGTATCGCTGTTTTCTGACCCCAAATTTAAAGCCACTTAAAATGATAATTAAGACTTTTGTTATACTGTTTAATAGTTATTATGGCTTTAAATTTGATAAATTTAAATTTTAGACTTTTTAAGGCACTGTGGAAACCCTGATGAGTAGGCATATAGTACATAAATCCTGTAGCAGTTCTAGACAGGTGGTGCTGGGGGAGGTGGAGGGTTTCAGATGAATGAATGGCAATCTCAAATGTTGAGCAAGCAATCTCATCAGTATATATATATATATATATATATATATATATATATATTTGGTGTGAATTATTTATTGTTTAAAGGGGTCATATGATGCGATTTCATTTTGTCCTTTCTCTTTGGAGTGTTACAAGCTCTTGGTGCATAAAGAAGATCTGTAAATTTGCAAAGACTAAAGTCTCAAATCCAAAGAGATATTCTTTATAAAAGTTAAGAGTCAGCCACACCTACCTAAAACGGCTCGTTCGAACATGCCCCCACATATCTACCTCACTATGTGGGAATATTTGCATAACGCCGCCCAAATGTT